AGTTTTGCCAGCACCATTTATTAAACAAACATTCTCTTCCCCATTTAATGGATTTTGGGCCTTTGTCAAAGATCAGCTTACTATAGGTCGATGGAACTATTTCTGGGTTCTTAATTCTATTCCATTGGTCTATGTCTGTCTTTAAACCAATACCAGGCAGTTTTGACTACTGTGGCTGTCCCAATGCTTTTTCTGTGTTGTACCAAAATCATTTGCTGAAGTCATTGCATACAATAATTTTCTGCAGATGTTTGGGTTTATTTCCAGACTTCAGTTTATTCATTAGGAAGTAGTCCAACTACTCTGCCATTTTTACAATCAGATATCTTGGTGGTATCTCTTATTTTTTTTCCCCAAATACATTTACTGAAATATAATTTATGTACTGTGAAATACCCAAAGCTAAAGTGACATGGATCAACACTTTTTTTTTTTTTTTTTGCAGTGTTCCCTCCCCTCCCCTCCCACCTCTGGTAACCAACAAAGAAAATGTCCTCCTTTATAATTTTTTTTCCTTGACTTTCTACAATAATGAACTAATACTATGATTTGTCCTTCTGTGATTGGCTTATTTGACTCAGCATATGGTCCTCCAAGTTCATTCATGTTATGCAGTGTTTTGCAGATTCTACATTATTCTTTAGTATTGCATAGTATTCCATTGTGTGTATGGACCATTTTAAAGTCTCCTACTGTGACTGTGTAGTCATCCATTTGTCTTCTCAGTCCTGTTACAGTCTGGTTTATATATTTTGGGGCTCTTTATTTTGGGTGCATAGATATTAATTGTTGTTACTTCCTCTTGTTCAATCAATCCTTTAATCATTATATAATGCTTTTCCTTGTCTCATACAGGACATCTGGTGGCGTAGTGCCTAAGGCATTTGACTGCTAACCAGAAGGCTGCTGGTTCAAACTCACCAGCCACTCCTCAGAAGGAAGGCTTGGCAATCTACTTCCGTAGTGATACTGCCTCGGAAACCCAAGGAGGGGTTGCTATGAGTCAGATCTGACTCAATGGCAAACAAAACAATAACAATGCTCTTCTATGGTTGCCATTTGCTTGATATATCTTTTTCCAACCTTTGATTTTTAGTTTATTTTTGTCTTTCTCTCTACAGTGTGTCCCTTATAGACAGCATATTGATGTATGATTTTTCTTACCCAGTCTGCAACTCTCCATCTCCTAAGTGATGCATTTAATCCAATTGATATTCAGTGTAATTATTGACAAGTATGAATTT